GAGTCGACTCACCACTGAGTCATAGTTGACTCACCTGCCTAGTTGGAAGTTGACAAGGCATTGTAACCTTCAAAAATGGTTAAAGGTACTAAATTAACCGGTAAAACACAAGTTTGTACCCTTCAAATGCAAAAAAAAAATCACGAATGACCATTTAAACCAATATACTAAACATTGTTGGGTTATAGTGACAATAACCCAAAAAAATAAAAGGAAATAGAATAGAACAATTAATTCGTTGTGTAATCGAGTTAGTATGAAATGAAAAAAAAAACAAAAAAAGAAATATAATTAGAAACAAAAAAAAATGATATTTTCATATTCGTTTGAAAAAAAAAATGATAATTTTATAGTACTTTTTTTGGGATATCTCTAGAAAAGTCCCAATATTTTGGGCAAATTTTTAATAAAGTCCTAAATTTTATTTTTTGAATGAAAAAGTCCTGACTTTTTCACATTTTGAATAGAAAAGCCAAAAAACCGGCTAATTTATTCACTTTAGCCATTTTTGACCTGGTCATGAGACCAAATTATTAATTTTTCGAAAATAATGGGACTTTTTTGCAGATTTCGTCAAAAAATTTATATAATGTATAGACATATTTTTTACATATCTATATCTATTTTTACGTATTTGTGTACTTTTTTATGTTTTTATATGTATATATTTACGTATTTTTATGTATATTAAATGTATAAACGTATTTTTTTTACTTATTTATATGTATTTTTAACCATTTTACATATTTTTTATGCATTCTTATGTGTTATTTTTTATGTATTATGTATTTATATGTATTTTTATATTTTTTAAAGCTTTTTATATAGATGTTTATGTATTTTAAATGTATAAACGTATTTTTTACGTATTTATATCTATTTTTAAGTATTTTACATATTTTTTATGTATTATGTATTTATGTATTTTTTTAAGTGTTTTATATAGATGTTTTTGTATATTTATGTATTTTAAATGTATAGACGTATTGTTTTACGTATTTATATGTACTTTTTAAGTATTTTACATATTTTTTTGTGTGTTTTTATGTGTTTTTTTTATGTATTATATATTTATATATATTTTTGCGTATTTATGTGTTTTTTTAGTTTTCTTATATAGATGTTTATGTATTTTTATGCATATTAAATGTTTAATTGTATTATTTTTACGTAAAAAATATATAAACACGTAAAAATAATACAATTAAACATTTAATATACGTAAAAATACATAAACATCTATATAAGAAAACTAAAAAAAATACATAAATACACAAAAATACATATAAATACATAATACATAAAAAACACATAAAAACACACAAAAAGTATGTAAAATACTTAAAAAGTACATATAAATACGTAAAACAATACGTCTATACATTTAAAATACATAAATATACAAAAACATCTATATAAAACACTTAAAAAAATACATAAATACATAATACATAAAAAATATGTAAAATACTTAAAAATAGATATAAATACGTAAAAAATACGTTTAT